GAGTTATGATGCCACTGGCGGCCAGTGGTGGGAGGTTTGAGAAGCGCACGGCGGCCGCGCGCCCAATTGGTGTCTGGTAACGGCTACTGTATGGATCACTGTCCCAATCCGTTACCGAGCACTTGTCCACTGGGGACTCCATACAACATGAACATGAATTGTGCAGCGCCGACGGCGAGAGGTGTCCAGATGTCAACTTCAAGCCCATGCATTAGGCGACAAAGCATATTGGGGTAGCGTTGGGCTAGGCGGAGGACGCTCTCTTTGAGCTGAGAAAGTGTGTTAGCGCACACGGTTTCAAGAGCGAGCGTAGGCAAGCTGCATTGGAAGTCCAGAAGCAGGCACCATGTATTTGATGTATTACACCAACGAGAAGGGCGAGAAGGTTTACACGCTGCAGGTAAGTCCTTTCAACAGATTCTGAGTGACTCCCCTGCTCCTGTTTGGTGCTGAGAAAGAGCCACCAGTACTTGTTCTACATGAAAGACCAGCGAGGTGTTCGTGCAGCGAAATGGTGCGGACCGAGGTCTGAGGACAAGCGATGGGAAACGTTGGGTCCATGTTTGAGATCAGCAATGATTACATTCACAGGTCATGTGCGGGCCCTTGCGTTGCTGCCATAGCGTTTTCAGGAGATTCTTCACAGCGCCCCCCTTGGCACTGCTGGCACACTGCTGGGTATACCCATCTGCTGACTGTGGGTGGTAGGGAGTGTTGGCAGAGAGTTTGCCTCGCCAACCCAAAGAAGTAAAGTAAGACGTTTTTGGCCGCCTGCTGGCTGCACTAGGAGACCGCTATCCTTTCTGTGCTAGTGGGTTCGTTCAGGGCATTGCTCACCGTGCGCCGGGGATCGTTGACTGATTGAGCGCTGTGGTTTTGGAGAGGGTAGCCTGGTTTGTCAGTCAGATATGTGATCTCAACAGCCTGTCCGGAACAGAGATTTATCCATGTCTTTACAGGACGTGCTTCGTTTCAGAGTGCATCGTGTGCTCATAATGCCGCTTCGCTTTTTGCAGAAGACAGCCCCCGATGGCGAAGCCACGCACTCAGCGCACCCAGGTATGTTGACCTTTAGTATGGTGCGGCTGAGAAAATGTTGTCGCCCCTCATACCACCTGCCAGGTCTATGCTACTTTCTGAAGACTGACTGGATCAAAGTGCTCTGAGCTGTTATTGACGCTGGAAGGAGGCTTCAGAGAGCCACTCCGACCCGGACGATCTGCATTCTGATGTCCAGTCATTCTGTTCGTGCAGCGCGCTTCTCTCCAGATGACAAGTTCTCAAAGCACCGGATAATCTGCAAGCGGAGGTTTGGTCTTTTGCCCACACAGCAGCCTCCACATGAGTACTGACCACATGGATCCGTTTTAAAAGTCTTGAGCACGTCAACTAGTAAAGTCCTCAGTCAATGAAGTGTAGTTTATAAGCATTGCAGAAACTTGTATAGGATTGAATCGTAGATTATGTGGACTGCAGATATGAGTTCGAGTTGATATTTCGCCTGTTTGAAAGATTTGCGAGTTTGCATGTGACGTTCGCCATTCGCTCGTGACATTCGTCTAGACGTCTGCCATTCTAGCACATGGTTAGTAGCTCCAACCTGGTCCGGCTTGCACGGAGCTTATTTGAGAATGATGACTGGGAGTACTCCGTGTATGAGAGAAGGGTGGCCGCCCCTTTCCTTTATGATTCTTAAGAGCTTCCATGTTGTCGGATGGTTGACTCTCGGTTTACATTTTCATGAGAAGGCTGTGACCACTTAAGTGAGTACTAACGAGATGCACGTGACACACTGTACTTGTACGTGTGCGAGCTATAGGACTGGCATCCAGTTGTGATGCACGATAATTGACTTGGTACAGTGCCGCGCCGCCACGACCTAGCTGACGGCCGCATGTGAACTTATGCATTTTCGCGTGGCAATAATGGAATATCAAAAAACCAGGCGGCGGCACTGTATGCATGGCGGCCATGCGTACATGTGTGTGCTGGCCCCTGATGTGTACACACATCCCGCGTCTTGAGTCTGCGTCTTGAGTCCGCGTCTTGAAGGTCCTTCGAACCAAGAAAGATCTGCCAATGAATCAGTTGGCCTATCAGATCGAGTAGCCAGCCATGCAAAGGTACTCTAGTGACTCCGAGCTTATAGATTGATGCAATCACTAAACAATTAGGTCGCGGTCCGACGATGAGTCTAACTAGGAAGGTTTTGTAGTATCATCAGGAGCTTTTCGGATGGTCACTAAGTTCTTTGCATAATTCAATACGCTGAGCTGGACACGGCTCACCCGCACATCAGTGAGCAAAAGGTTCTCACTTTCCCAATAGACAACAATCCTACGGCCATGAAGCAACATCTTGTTTGCAGGCTCTTTGCATGTTACTTCATGGCAATGCGCGGTTGAGTTCTGCGGGAGTCACCACTTCAGCCGGAACTTAGCGACTTGAACAGATCTACAATGACTATTGAGGACTGTCCCGCAAGCGTCACATAGTCCGGCATGTGTCTCAACGTGCCAGGCCGATGACGTTCTATCAACCCACATAATACATCGGGTTTGGCAGCTTGAAGGTTCTGGTCCCAGAAGCTGGCCCCTGGAGGTCGCTCCATTGGTCGCCCATGCCCCCATGTATCCGGAAACCCCGCAACACCAGCTCCTGTCGGTGTCGCGATTTGTAGAGAGCTGCCGGATCGTGGATCTCTTCGGGCGTCCTATTTCAAAGAGAGAAGCACACCGGTCTGCGAATGTAGAACAAGATTCTTCTTGTGGCAACCAGTATGGGACCAAGGAGCCATTTGCTTACCTTCGAAGTCGGGTTTGAATCTAGTGACGTGTTGGCCGCCTGGACTCGGACCAATCCTTCTATCGTGCTGCTCGCGATTATCTTTAAGCCAGTCAGGCCCTGCCAGTCCTTCTCATGAAGGCTTAATTTAAGAGATAGCTCGAACCGCGCTTCTTCTATTTATGTTCGATGGCATCAGCTGTTGCAAGATCGGAGAGATCATGATCGGCGCACACTTTGAGATGGACTCGTGAACTCATCCTCTCGACAGGCCCACCTGAGAGTCAGGCTTTGCCAGCCGCTGTAGCCCACGGCCAGAAGGTTTTCGATGGTGACGTTGCGCTGGGACTCGTCCCTCCCGGTGATGAACGCTATCTGCACGTGATCCGATGAATACGGTTCAACATCTGAAAGCGACAGATTTCTGGACGTTGCGTCGCAGCAATGCCTCTTGTTTTGGATTGGCACCTAAGAGGGACTTGCTCGATCAGTGCACAAGATTCCAAACTTCAGTCGGGGGGATCCCTGCCGAAGTCCTCTAGCTCCGCTTTCAGCTACACCCTTTTCGCACACGACTACGGCCTCCAAACACACACGCCCAAAGCGAACCGCTCGTGACGTCAGCAACCCTCCTGCGATGGAGCACGGTCTCGCCTCACCTGCCAGCCCGCGCTCCTCATCTCGTGGAAGAGCGCGAGGGTGGGGGCGAGGGCCTTGGCGGTGCCTTCCAGGACCCAGCGGTCCCACACAGCCTGGACTGCGTCCGTCCACTCGTCTTCCCTGCGGGGCCTCAAATGCTGACGTCATGCGTCACGTCATGCGGACGTCAAATGCTGACGTCCCACTTCGGACGATCATCTGCGATGTCGGCTGACCTCGCCCAGCTTGAAGAAGCCTCTCCGAAACCCCTCAAATGCTGGCGTCACACACTTTGGAATCTAGCTGCGATGTCGGACTGAGCTAGCCCAGCTTGAAAAGGCCGCCTCGAAACTTCCTCAGATTGCAAGTCCGCAGATTATTTAGAGACCAACGCAATAGACTGCTCGAAGCAGGTCGTCCTGTTGTGCCAAACCGCTTCAGAAGAGCTTCTTCATCGGGCTTTAGGACTTGACCCGTTTCAATCTTATCTCCAATCCTCGGAGGGGTTGCAGCATTCTGGTACTTCGTGGGACTTTGGTTTTGAAAGAAGCTGCTCCTTTTTCGTACTTCATCTGACGACATCGTCAAGAGCATTCCTCAGAGTTTTCGAAGCAGCCATGAAAGACTACCTCAAAAGATAGTGAGCCCAACTCACCCCCAGTGTGTGTACATCCTCTCAAAGAATGGGACGTTCGAAAGCGATGTCTCGTCGATGTCCAGCATCCAGAGATCCAGCCCGTCCGACGCTGGCGGTCCGAGAGTGTTGACGTAAGCTCGAACAGTCTCTACAACTGCCGCAAAGTCGGCCGCGTACTGCCCGTTCTCAGTGTAGTCTTTCACAAAGGAGCCGCACCCGGCTGGCACGACCCAGTCATTGAGGTTCCCAACTGCAGCAAGAAATGACTCAAGAGATTGCGTTGCACGGTCGATCATGAGGCAATCAGGCCTCTCTATTGGTGTGTCGGATAAGGCGACAGAGCTTTGAGGACATGTACGGGGGTGCAGGAACTACCTATTTCTGTGAGTCTTCAATATATTCAGACCGCAAAGACTCACGTCAAACAAGACAACTTGGGTCTGTGAGTGCCCCATAACTGCAACTCCGTAGGTTAGAGACAGTCGCCTAAATTGAATGCGTCCTCACCTTCGATGTTTAGAAAGAAGCTTTTGCAGTCCTTGATCTGCGCACCATGGTTTTTATAATGGGCGAAGCACCATATCAGGGCGCCGCAGGCCAGGAGAAGCGTGCTCAGAAAAAAGGTAGCAGTGTAGAAAATAGTCCTCGACGGGACGGTCTTGATCCGAGCATCCCAGGAATCTGACATGGATGCAGCTTAGTCAACAAATTTTACTTGGCAAGTGCCTTTTCCTGGAAAGTTAGGCAATCTGCAGAACTGTTTTGCATCAACAAAAAGCATTTGAACCGTCATTGCTGATTGACATGGAAATGTGGAAGGCTATATTCTATGGTCTTCAAGATGAGTTGAGAAGAGATCGAACAACGTGAGACCTGCGTTTATGCACAGGAGATGAACATCTTCAAGATCTAAGCTCATGCATGAACTTACTGCATCTTGATGGCGCCCCAGTTGGCAACTCACCCAAAAACGATTCCCATTTTGTCAGATGAAGCTCGCCCGCACGTGCGGGCTTAATCAACGCCTCCGAGTCCACTTCAGGAACAGAAGCATCCGCCATTCTACAGGCTATCTGCCCTGTTTAGGAGAAGCTCCCCAGCGTTTGCCCTTTCAGCTCAATCTATCGTTGCGTGCGTTGAGATCGCTCGTTGAGCGGGTTCAGGGGCAACGAATGTAACTCAGGAAGGACTGGCAAACTGTGATGGGGTTCAGGGGCAACAAATGTAACTCAGGAAGGAGTGGCAAATTGCGATGAAAATTTCCAAGAAATAAAGGGAAAGTCAAAGGCAGAGGGGCAGCTACCGTAGTGGTGCTTTGCGCCAATGCCCCGCCCTTTGGCAAAAACTTTTCTCTTGGCTCTGAGGGCACCTAATGTTCCTGCTTTGGATAGGGAAGTAAACGCCTTACCTGACCTGAAGCTCAATTGTTGACAGCTTACAGCATCAGCTCACTGGAAAAAAGGCCGGCCTAAATTAGCAAAGGTGATCTATGGGCCAACACTCAAACAAAATCAAAACCTTTAGATATGCCTGGGCTTGAGGCTTTCCTGAAGTTTCAATTGAAGCAATTCAAAGTGAGCTGGAAGAATGGTAAGCGAATCAAAAACCTGAGTTCCATAACAGCAGCTTCAAAGTGAAGCCTGAGGACAGTAGCAGCAAACAGACAGATTGGCATGTTAAGTTCATACACTTGCGAATCAGAGGACTCACAGCAGAGTAGGTTCGAATGAAGAAGGAAAAGTAAGGCAGTGCTGAACCACCAGATTCACAGCATTGGCCTTGGAATGACAGGCACAACAGGAAGGGCTTGGCTCTAGATCCAACCACCAGCTCAATTGCTAGCGAAGGTACCTCGAAAGTCACGAAGGAGAACAGATACATAGCCTTCGCTTAGACTTCACCAAACCAGATTGCCACTTTTCAGTTCTCATTGAAAACGACAATGAAAAGGGTGGTGCGATATGGATTGACCTCGAAAAGCAACGAATACTCGATACAGAGGGCGACATTGCGGTATGTATCGGCGAGAGGAACGCACCCTTCTTTTCACAAGGCAGCTATGTAATGAAGTAAGTTAGCTGAGCAAGCTTCTTGCCCTGTGCTTGTAGAAGCAAGAAAGAGCTGAGCCCTATGTAAACTCCGCTGTCCGCTTGCCTTTGCAGCTGCCCATGCAGCCGGAAGTTTATCCAAGCAGACTCTCTTTGACACTTGAAATGCATATTAGAACCTCATACAGAAGGAGAATCGGTCTAACAGTGCCAATCGCAAGGACCATCCGAGTCTGGGCGCCCACTCATTGTTCCGGTGTCCGCCGCGCGGGATGCAAGCGGATGCCAATGCCCACTCAATTGCCACTCAATAATAATATTAATTGCTCAGCCGGAGCAGGCAGATAGCTGCAATTGCAATGCCAATGGCGGAGACGCCAGTCTCTGCTCTAGCTTGAAATTGGATATTTCGCCTCAGCCTCAGGAGAATGTGAGGTTCTGACTGATCGCAGAGCTGTCCGACTAAGTCTACAGGTCTTCGAGCAGAGAGCCTGAGCAGTCAGGAGAGCATTCTTCTTGCGGGGGCCCTTTTGTGCGATCACAAATGGTCGTTACGAAGGTCACCAAAATCTGCTGACGGTGGAGTTTTTCTCTGACAGGATAATCCTTCCAGCCTTGAATCAACGAAACATCTTTGGCTTGAGTTCTGGTTCTCACATTCTCCGACCGTAAAAGCTTGGGGCCGTAGCCTCTTCAAACCAGGTCACGAGTCCCGCACATTAGAATGGATCAGAGGATGGGCTATGGCGCGGGCCAGGGCGGCCCCGACAGAGGTGACGCATTCCGGCGGCCGGATCTGCAACAAACCCCACACACTATGCACTCGTCCGCCTTAGGAGCCTACGGTCTTCCTGCAAGCCCCTACGCACAGCACCTGCAGGCCTTTAACCCAGGGTTTGGCCTCTCCCCCGAGGGCTTAACCCAGGCCTTCCGCGGGCAGCTCAGCCCGAGCTCTCTACCCCACACTCCTGGCTTCGCCACACCCGACGCATATTTCCGTGATAGGGAGCAACTAGCGCATCTGCAGGCATTCGGCCATCTGAGCGGCGGGAATGCGGCTCAGCAATTTACGCCTGCGCGGGAGGGGTTGTTTGCAAACCCTGGGCAAACCCAGCCGCCCCCCCGGCAAGGGGACTCTGGATACGGCCCCCCAAACTCTTCAATGGAAGCTGAGATGTTGCGCCAGTTGCAGCAGGGCCTTTCAAATGCAGAGGGCATGTCGACACACGCGCCCGTGCCGGCCTCTCAAAACCAAGGCGGAGCTCGACCCCCACGAGAGCCAACGCCGCACCGAGAACAGGCGTTAAACAACACGCCGCAGACGGACCAGAATCGAGATCATGCACCGGCGGGGGAGGAGAACGGGGACGAGGGAGATGGCGAGGGGTCCGATGGGACGGAGGACGACTTTTACTACAAGAAAGAGAACGGGGGGGTGACGGAGCTGGCGCAGGTGGGGGAGGACCAGGTGGAGCTGCCGATCGAGCTGTTTGACCTGCCGTCGCTGAACCGGATACTGAGCATCCAGACGTGGAACCAGCACCTGAACGACGAGGAGCGGCTGCACCTGCTCAAGTTCTTGCCGCAGCTGCCGGACGTACACCTGCAGGTCAGGGCGTGTCCAAATGTGTCCAGACATGTCCGATGATGTCTGAAGACGTTGATTCTGGCGCGCTCCGCTTTTACTAGGGTGGCCGGCGTTATACGGAGCGAATCTGGAGGGCTGCTGCTTGTCTTTGAAAAGCATGGTCTATGCCTGAAAAACTTTTCCGGATTTTGCGTGCTAGTTTTGCTTGGGCTTTGCGTTTGGAGTGGTGCAGACTTGGTGGTGGCTCTTAGTCTGATGCTTGAAGAGAAAGACAAGAATCCGTTTGTTTGTGTGGCTTCTGAGTTTCCCTCTTTGGAGCCTTGTATTTTCTCCCTTGCAATGTGTCAGGTTGCAGGATGTTACAATCGGGTTGTTGCTCCCAAGACTCTGCTACAATCCGAAAGTTTTGCCAGAAGTCTTTGTCGTTTCTGCTCGTACAGTCTCCCGGCATATCCCCTGCGGGAACCACTGGTGATATTCTCCTACTCATCCACCTCAATTGTTTTCGTCCTGATGCCAGGAAAATGGGTTTCGCGGAAGCTGTCTTACCTTTTGTTCTTCTCAAACGAATTTTTAACGAGTCGCTGCACCTCATCCTAGTAAGCACGAAGCTCTAAAGTGAGTTCTAACACTTTTAGCTTCCCGCTTGCACAGGATACCCTGGACAAGCTGCTGAAGGGCGCCAACTTCAACTTCGACAGCCCGATGCAAGAGCTTTGGGAGCGATTACAAGGAGGCGAGTGCAGCCCGCGCGTGGCGCGCTACGCGGAGGGGTTGCTGTATCTGCAGAAAAAGGAGCACACCCACAGGTCCGGATTATGAGGCTCAAGTTGCAGAAAGATTGGGATGTTTCTGCGAAGGCCTTCTGAAGACTGATTTTGATGCGCTTCTGAAGACTAATTCCGGATAGTTGTTCAACCGATTTAGCGACTAGAGTAATTCTCGCTGAACAATTTCGAATTGCATCGGGTTTTTAAAGAAAGGGCCATCTTGAAGCTTGCTTGAAGCATCCTCTCTTTCTGACAGTTTTCCTTTTGACACGGTTGTCTACGAAACGGCCATGTCGAAGCTTGCTCGGAGTTCAATATGTTGACCCAGAGTTTTTGCGTTCACAGCCAGGTATTAGATGTGAATGTTCATCAAGTAATCTCTGGTGATCTTCTTGGAGCCCTTGCTTCCTGAACAGGCTACTCGGGCAGCGAGCTGTTTCTGACCTGCCTGGACAAAGCTACAGCGATCGGATTTCGCCTGTCCTCTTCTGGGATTGCTGTGCTAGACGCAAATGCTGTTGAACGACTTTTGCCAGGTGTTAAACAACCACTCATCTCTCCTCGCTTTCATCCGCTCTTGAAGCGCAACTTCTCCCCTTCGTGTACCTACTTTCCAGCTTCAAAGCTGGATATCCCTCCTCAATGTCAAGTATCCAGACCATATTCCGCTGGTACGTTTCTTCCACAAACTTCGAAACTGACTTGTTTGATTATGCTCGTCCTCACGCTTGAAACGCTTTGTTCTTTGCAGGCTGCGAGAGTACCACAACAGCATGGTCAATAACCTGGTGCAAATGCGCTCCCTCTGGCAGCAGTTTCCCACTGCAGAGCTCCCCGAACGACTCGCAATGTGGGAGCGCTTCTCTCGCAACGAACCGTTGAACAAAACGGCGCCCCTGAAACCGCTTCCGCCTTCGTTAGAGCCTTCCACGGCTCAGGTTGATGGGGTCATTAAAAATGAAAGCGAGAGCGCAGAACCGGGAGAGAATGGTCTGGAGCAGGAACGACCAAAGAAGAAAGCTGCGAAGAAGAGCGTCGAGGGCGGCAAGAAAAGCGAGGAGGCGGGGGCGAAAACGAGTGCTGAAAAGAAGGGGGTAAAGGCGGAGTCCGAAAAGAAGGGGGACAAAGCAAGCCCGGAAAAGAAGGGGGGAAAGAGTAAGAAAGCGGTCGAGGATGCGCCAGCGGGAGGGGATGCGGAAATGGGTCACCAGGAAAAGGCGGTTAAGAAGGTTAAGCGGAAACAGCCGCCTAAAGAAGAGCCCGCCCCCGCCCCTAAAAAGGCGAAGCTCGATCTGGAAAAGGACCCCGAAGCAGAACCCTCGTCTCAAACCGAACCCCCGACTCAAATTGACGGCGAGTCTCAGTCATTCGAGCCTCTTCGCATTTTGGCCGCTGTTCGGGGGGCTCTTCTAGACAGTTCTTCGCCCGCTCTTTCGACGTCCGAAGTCGAGGCAGCTGTGCGGGAAACCCCGGGGGATCCCTCCGTGCTGTCCGCCCCGGGGTTTACGGAAATCGTACGGGCGGCGCTGCGGGCCCTGTCAACGAAGCCGGTCGATTTGAGGACGAAGAAAGCGCTGGCGAAGTTCGACAGGGAAACGAAAACATGGGCCTGGACAGGGCCCCGGCCGCTGGCGGACGAAGATCTAGGCGCGGCGGAAACGGGCGCAGGGGCGTGGCGCATCGAGCCCGAGTTTCAGAAACAGGTCGCGGACAACTTTGTGGCGCGGCTGAAGCAGCCGAAGAAAGAGCCCGTTTCTGAAGTGGCCGGAAACGCCGAAGCGGAAGAAGCACCGGCGCCGAGCGAAAGCGAGAAAGCGGAGCCGGCGGGGGGGTCCGGAAGAGGGGAGGAAGAGGAGGGGGGAAAGAAGCAGGTTAAGCGGCGGGTTAAGAAGGAAGAAGGGCAGGAGAAGGAAAAGGGGGGAGCAGGGAAGGGAGCGGTCGTGGCCCCTCCTCTGAAGTCGACGGCAGAGCAACTAGAAAGGTTCCAGAAGGAGGAGTGGATGCGATACATGGCGCCGGAAAAAGCGTTTAGGTGAGCGTCTGTTAAGAGAAAGCAGCATTGGTGGGACCCGCTCCGCAGGAAGCGCACTTACATCAGGAAAGAGCGAAAGGCGTTTGGCGAGCTTAGTAATGAGTCGGCATCTGAACCGTTGGCACAGCGGCCAGGTTTTTCTGTTTGGATCGATGCACTTGCTTGGCTGACATCCTAGTTCACATTGAGCAGGCTATCGCATACCAGTAAGGTGTGCTTAGAACCTGAGAGCTCTCAATTGCTACACGATAGAACCCACTTTTTCCCGAATAGGAAAGACCACCTTTGATCAGATAGTCAGACCGGATCCTTCCCTAACCACTTGACTTGAGGAATCCTATATCATTCGTTTCATTCCCTGAGCTGACCTGTGTTATGCCATCAAGCAGGCGCACAAAGCACTACTAAAGCACACGAACTTCTACCTAATCCCGATCCTGACTGCTCTCTAACCCGGATCCTGACTCCCCCTGATTTCGATCCTGACTTCTCCCAAATCCGATCCTGACTGCCCCCTAACCCCGATCCTGACTTCTCCCTAACCCCGATCCTGACTTCTCCTAACCCCGATCCTGACCCCTTTCCAGGTACACAGCCGCCGACGGCGGCCTGTCAATGGTCGCCGGAATCCGCGGCGCCGGAAAAGGAAAGTCCAAAGGCAAAGCCCGCGAGCACTTTATGCTCAAAAGCGACCGGCCTCCGGAGGTCACGATCCTGTGCCTCGTGCGCGACGCGGCCGCGCGCTTTCATGACGGCGTGGGCACGCGTGCTGACGTGTGCAGCCTCATCCGAGAGAGCCGGTACATCAACGATGACGTACCGGAGAACCAGCTGAACAACGTGAGACGTCTGCCGATCCTAAGGTCTTCGAGACTGCCGACTTTAGGGTTCGCCTTTGTCTGCGGGCCGAAATTCGATCGAGGCTCTCCTCTGATTAGCCACCAGTTGGGCCAAAGTCATAGAGGAAAAGGGGGAGAAATGCTTCATCGTGTCCACATATTTGGCTCTTAGTAATACAATTGAATCAGTTGCCTTTTCGTTGCATTGATGGGCTGTCTGTATTAAGTCCAGAGCTTACTCGAAGCTTTGCCTTTTCCGAGAATATCAAGAGCGAGACAGCCGCCACAATTCACCGGCTGTGTATACGCAAAAAACGGGTTCCACGACACTGTCGCGACGGGCGGACCGTTCAGACTGCGCCTTTAGCTTGACAGTAGAGGATTGCAATTCGGTTGTGCAGAACAGCCGGCTCGCCAGGAACCAAGAGCGTGCATAAGGGGGACTGAATGTTCTTGTATGTTTTTCGAGGACACTGGATTCAGTTCTTGAACGCTTTTCAAGCAGAAACGTACCTGCTGACGCTCGTAGTCTGGAAATCATTGACCGCTGTTACTCTGAAAAGACCGTCAGCCGCGCGATGAATGGTCGCTCCGGTTCCAACAAGCCGACGGGTGCACGGAAGCAGAGCAAGGGGCCCTCGTCCGTCTCCCAACCGCTCCCGTGGCGTCCCTAGTAAGCAGCTGACGTCACTGCTGACGTCATCCTCTTGCGCAGATCGTGAGCGGCGCGATGGACCGGCTGCACTACGAGGCGGACCCGTGCATCCGGTTCGACTCGGAGCGCAAGGTGTGGATCTACCTGCACCGCGACCGCGCCGAGGCGGACTTCCAGCAGGACGGCACCAAGAACACGCGCAAGTGGGCCGCCAAGCGCAAGAAGCCGGGCGACGACCAGGTAAACCGGTCTTTGGTGTTCCTTCTGTATGGGGAACTTCATTTTGGGCGATCTGACAGTTTCAACTGCGCTTTTGTCCGCATGAAAGGCCGTCGGTGCGTTGAAAGGAAGCGGGCCGCCAAGCGCCAGAAGCCGGGCGGCGACCAGGTAATTCGGCCATCTGACTGCCTTTGTCTTTTCTTTTCTCTTCGTTTCTTTTACTTTTTTACGAGGATAACGGGGGTACGAAGGTGGGGCAACAGCCGGCTTAGCGTCCTTCTAGTTGAGGACTATCGTGTGTTGGCGCTTGACAACTCCGTTTGCACGTTTCGCCCCTGGAAACGCCTGTTCGTCTTTTCAAAAGAAGTGGTGCCCCAAGCGCGAGAGGCAATCAGGTGTTACCCCAAGCTCGCGATTTCTGATCTTCTCAACCAACCCATCCCGAGAAGCAGGAGCCTAGCAACGACAGAGAAGGCTGCTACTCCACTTTTGACCACAAGTAGGCTGCCGCTCCACTTGTCACATTCGCCGGTCCTTCTTATACGGCGTCGTCTTTTCGTCGGTTGCTTGGAAACAGCACGTCCATCATTGGCGCACCTTTAGGGCCGGCCTTGAAGAGGAGATTTCCTTTGCAGTGCGTCCTCTCCGCTTTTTGCTACTTCGGATCTGCTTTGCAGTCGTACTGATCGACGCTCGCGATTCTCTGATGGCACTCTCCGCTGTCCGCTTGAGGACTTTCATTCTTCTTACCCGCGTATTGTCTTGCTTGATCCGAGGCCTAGTAGACGAAATGGCAGACTTGTTAAGAATCGCCGCGACATGGTCTGGTAGGACTCTGGCACCTCAAACCTGTTCTAAACACAGAAGGTTCAGGGGCATAGCTTCTAGAATCTTACTGATTACTCAGCTGCACCGGTGAGCGATTTTTTCCTTGAGTACTCCATAAACTTGCCGCCTTAAGCAAATCGGCTAGCTCACAGTGGTTACAAAGAAGAGGCTTATTCTGAAAGCTAAAGAAAACTGTCTCGACGTTGACTCAGACTTAGAACAACCAACACGTTGGACTTCTGCAGGAGGGGGACGAGGACGAGGGGGATCCCCCGGAGGAGGCGGAAGAGAAGCCCAAGCCGAAGAAGCGGGCCAAGAAGGAGCCGACCCCGGGGGACGGCCCCGACCCGCCGAAAGAAAAGAAGAAGCGCAAATCCAAGGCGCAGCAAAAGGCGGAGGAGGCGGCGGCGGCGGAGCCTGCTGAGGAAAGGATGACGTCAGCAAAGGCGGAGGAGAGCGACTCGGAGGACCAGGTGCTGGCGGCGGGGTTGGGGCAGCGGGCGCGGTCGGTCTCGGAGAAACCGGCGGGGCGCGGCGAGAGCGAGGTGGACGGGCCGCCGATTGTGTACACCGGGGGGGTGAACGGGGGGGCGGAGTATGGGGGGGCGGTGGTTATGCAGCCGGTCGGGTATGTGAACGATAACGCGCCGTTGGAGTATCCGGGGAGTCAGCCGCGAAGGCTGATTGATTTGCAGGAGGTCGCGATGGATGAGGATGAGAACGAGGATGAGGAGGATGAGGAGGAGACGGATGATGAAGGGACGCCGTAACCGGAGAGATGGTGCGCTTTTGGAGAGGCTGACGGAGTTGTTCTCGCGAGAGAGATATCAGTGAACGAAGATGCATGCGACTGACAACATATGGTGATGCGCACGTATGCGCAAAGAGGGGTCAGCAAAATCTGCGGCACTGATACGTATTCATCCTACAAAGATTGTCACTGAATTGGGTCCATTAATGATCCCACATCTATTTTGAGACACAGGCAGCTTTGGCAAGATGCTGCGCACCTGGTTCTCAGCCTACTGACTAGTCAAAGAACGCAAGCCAGCTAGCTGCGACATGGCATGACATCCGTGGCCCCACTCGATAGACAACATATGGTGCTAATCTCACTGCGCGGCTGACAGTCCGATCGACGCCGCGCCGGGCCTGGCATAATGATACTTTAACCTACTTGAGTGCATGCGGTTGGATCGACGTGGCATATTATGCAATCTGCATCTCCTTGCATCTTGCATGGCAGCCGTGGTGTCGGTTTGTTATGATACTCAAGCTATAGTGTCTGTAAGAATATTGATTGATCATGCAGAATATTTAGAAATTATTCTGTATACTCCAGCTAGAATTCCATCCGTCGATATTCAAGGATCACAGCACGCGGTGAGCTAGAACAGCACTCGCGCGGGGGCTACTTATGTTTATACCGATCGGTCACCGCGATCGCTTCACTGATGGCATGGCACACATCTGCAATTTGACGCTCACTTCCAGCCAGAGTCTGCCTGCAATCCAAGTCATCTGGTCATTCGGCGAGCGGCGAATAGCAGAATCAAATTGATACTTAACGACTGTACAATGCATGCCAATCTTTCAAAAACTGACGCTTCAGAAATAGTAAGATAGCCAGCCTGTGACGGGTGGGTTTAGTTTAGGGGTTAGGGCCGGTGACTTCGGGTGCGGAGCGGGTGATTTTGTGGGTCAGATTTTTAGTGTTAGTGTTAAAGCTTACTATCTTTGAGCTTAATATTCCTCAGTGAAGTGTCGCAACATCGATCTTTCCCCAAAGTCCAGAGCCCATATGAGAGCGGGCAACAACAATCCGTTAAACAATCAAAGAGCCTGCCGGTCAACCATACTGGCACAACTCCGAATGTACGTGTCTACTTGATCTTCGTTTTTCGAGCTATCTTACAAGTCATGTTGTAATCCCAAACCTCGCAGTGGCATTGTTTCCTGGCTGTTGTGTGTTCTTTATACAAGTTCTGAACGGGCTCTTGATTTGACTCGGTCAAACGGTCTTCCTTCAAAGCAATGATTGACTTCTGTCTTTAAAACTATCCTTGCCTTTCGACAGGTACCTTGCATGTGCTGCGAATACAAAGCCCAAACCAAACACAATCAATCTTTACAGCTATAGTATGGGCGGCTTGAGCTTTCTAAGCAACTTGAGCCGACTTCATTACAGGCAGTCCCGACTTTTCCCAAGCTTGGAAACCCCCTCCAACGTCCGTTACATTCGTGAACTCCTGAAGAATCAGAGCCAATTGTAAACAGAGAGTGCAGAGAAACACACGTCCTAAGCTCGAAACACGCATGTTGCACATATGTGAGAAGTCTCCCGGCCAGAAGAATCTACACGGGGCAATCAAGAGAGATCCTGAGATATCAATCAAGGGACAGGCTCTGTGAGACGGGCCTACTCATGGAACCGAGCGCCGACTGGAGAGGCACTGCATGATCGTCCAACACTAAACATACCTCTCGCAAAAGCTCCGTAGTTGCTAGCATGGAACGCTTTCCACTCAAGCAGCCCTGAAAAGTGGAAATGAGAAAGTCAGCATCAGAAGATGGTGGCATCTTAAGCCCAGGTTACAGCCTCGCGCCCAAGATTCATCTCGCAATTATCTCAGCAGATTCTCCTGTACAGG